TAAAAGTTCACACATAAAATCCACATAATACAACGTTTGCATATGAGCTTTTGATGGCAACGTTTACATAATACACATAAAATGTTAAATGTTAAAACGTTTACATAATACAACTGAATAACAACGTTTACATAATACAAAGTTCACACCATATGAGCTTTGGATTTTGATGAGGATCCATATTTTGGTAGAGGAAAAGATGATTTTGATGGCACTGGTGATCCACATGTCAACCTTGTATGACCACTTTCCTTGCACCGACTACATGTCGATCTCTTCTTCTCTTCACCCTTAGACGGTATATGATCGTGACTTTTTGGTCGGCCAGGTAGCCTTCTGTCCATGGCTGGTGGCAAAACTGTTTGTAAGTCATCTGGTATGTCCCACTCAGAAGGATGTGGAATAGGGTAGACAATCTCGGCATAAGTCTGTCGATAAACTTCTGTAGTGTAGCAATCCATAGCGTATGCGCTTGAATCATCTTGGTTTAAATGAAGAGCAACTTTTATAACATGGCCACACGGATAACCAGATGTTTGCCATTTCATACAACTACACGTCTTTGCATTTAGATCGACTAGCCCATTTAAGTTATTATCCAGTACTTGAAACAAAGTGTTTGAACATGGTTCAACTCTCCATGACGTTGACTTCACAACACGTTTCGTTATCTTTTTTTCAGTCCATGGTGTAACACGATGTTCCAATGTTCCTGTAAATTTAAATAAACAATACTTAGTAAAATATATAAATATGATAAGTTACGAATTCAAAGAAATAATACCTGCATGGTTTCTTTTCTTGTAGTACCACTGTTGAATAGAGGCTCGAAAAAACTCCATTAACATAGTAATGGGTAATTTCCGGGAATGACGACTTAGAGCGTTGATTGATTCTGCACTATTAGACGTCATGAAACCATATCTTACTCCAAGTTGATGTACTCTTGACCATCTTTCAAACCCGACATCTTCTAGTGTTTGAGCACACTGAGGCAAAACACGTAGCATTAGAGTTTCATAAGTTAACTTTTGTAAAGACAATTTTAGTTGAAGATTCATGGGTAAAGGCATATATTGTAAAACACCATTAACATTATCCCATGACCCTCCAAAACACAAATCTATCCAAACATGATCAACATTAGATGATTTCATGGTTGTAAATTAATTTACTAAACAGACGAGCTGCGAAACTAAAACCTGTTGCCGGATTGGGAAGGATGTCGTTGGATATAGGAACGGATGTCGCCGGAGAGAGTGATAGATGGAGATGGAATGAGTTGCGATTTAGGGATTTAGTTTATGATTTCAGTGTTATATACCCAAAATTTCAGTGTTGTGATTTACAGATTCTCGTTGCGATTTACGGATTATCGTTGCGATTTACGGATTATCGTTGCGATTTACAGATTCTCGTTGCGATTTACGGATTATCGTTGCGATTTACGGATACGCGTTGCGATATACGGATACGCATTGCGATTTACCCATACGCGTTGCGATTTACGGATACACGTTGCGATTTACGGATACGCGTTGCGATTTATGTGTTCGCGTTGCGATTTTCATATTCGCGTTGCGATTTTGGAAAATCGCAATGCGAATTTGTACTATCGCATTGCGATTTTCAAGAATCGCGTTGCGATTTTGGAAACTGATTTGCGATTCTGGGGATCGCGTTGCGATTTTTATTTCGCGTTGCGATTTTGTTGGTCATTTTGGCAAATCCAAAAAAAGTTGGTTAAAATCGTATATTATAACTTTTTTTTGGTCACTGAGGCGATTTTCTCTTATTATTATTGGTTTCATTTATTTCCTTGGTTTACTCTTTAGTTTTGTTATTTTCTTTTATTATTATTATTTTCTTTTAACATCTTATTTTAATTTTTTAAGGGTATTTCCGTAAACTCATTAAGGGTAAGTAATTCAGATCAAATTTTACCTTTTAATTTAACTTGCAATTTTCTTAATCAAAGACAATTGGAAATTATGTAGTACCGAAAGGGCGGTTCAAGGGTGTTAATCCTTCCTTGACCGTAACCGACTCCTGAACCCGACACATCTTTGGAAAGACGCAGATTAGGTAAGAAATAGGGTATCCGATCAACCCATTTGTTTTAAATAAATGATCAGTGGCGACTCTCAATCCACATTTTTCAAGTCGAAACCCAATTTCGGGGCCCAATCGAAAGACGGTTACGACAAGTACATCATTAAGAGACGGTGACAACGAGTATTTTATGATGTTAAAATAAATATCCTTAATCCCAATAAAATGAATAAGAATAAGTAGAATAGTGAAGGTCGATCTACAGGGGCTAGGAGTTGGACAATTTCCTCGCTTTTGATTTTGGCTTCAGACGTGATTTGTAAAAGAAATTTGTGGGGAGATTTTGGAGAATTAAAGCAAAGTAATAAAATTAATTAAAATAAAAAAAATTAATTTAATTGGTAAAAATCAGCCTTGGACTAAAGTTTTTGCCTCGATTTAAATCGATTCTCGAATAGGATTTTACCTTCGGGCTCACGCCGGTTACAGTCTATAGGGTCCAACCCCTGTAACTTGTTTTTCTCTCAAATGAATCGAAAATCTAAAATCAATTTTTGTGAGTTAACAGCAGTAATCGCTAATTAATTCAACACCTTTAAATTCTGGAAAAACCCGACTCAGATTCTATCGTCTCAATTGAGAATCTAATCCGATTTCAGTTCCCTTAGCGGACCGTCGCTAAGTGTGTTCACAGGAAGTTAAATGTGCCAAAGGCCGATCATTCCTCCCAACCATTAATCGAAACCGAAATTCAATTCCAACGTGCACTTTTTTGAAATGAAATCGCCTTGATTATAAAAGGATGATCAATTATCAATCATTGATTTCCGAAAACTGAAAATGTAACCCTTGCGGGTATGAAGCACTTTTCGATTCTCACGACTTAGAATCAAGTCATTGCTCTAGCCCTTGGCTATAGAAAACTTAGCTAAGAATGGTAAAAATCATACTTAAAATTTTGAAAGAAAAAAATAAAGTAACTTGAAAAAGTAAAATGAAATAAAAACTTTTATAAATATAAATGAAGAAATAAACAAGAATTGAATAAATTCGGAATGAAAATTAATGCTTAGAGGCTTACCCTAATGGGTATTTATAATCCTCAAAAAATCTAAAAAATAATATTCAAAACAAAAGATAATTCGTAAAAATAAAAATAAGATAAATCCTAATTTAGAATTAAAATTCGACTAAGTCTCCTTCTCCACGCCATTGTTGATTGGATCTTCTAGAAGTTGCTGACTGTGCCTTTTAGAAGCTGTTAGCTGGGTGCCACTTCACCTGCCACGCTAGCTATCATGTCATCGTCATGTCAGCTACCACATCATCGCCACATCAGCTGCCACATAAGCCGCTTACTAGATGTCATGTCGGGTGTGTCATGTCCCAAGTCGTGCCTACTAATCCGGCCTACTAATTCGGCCATGAATCCAGAAAAATAAAAAAGTACACGATTTCGTTGTTCTTAGCATAATTTCTGAAATTCAATGTCCTGTATCGAAAATGAATGAAAAGACCAAGTTAACAATTAAAATTATATAATCAATGAGTAATTAATTATAAAATAATGTATAATTTAAACACTAATCAGACAGCGAGAAACTTGTAGAAAAACGGTCAGAAGAATGCCATCTCTATGATATTTAACTGGCATTAACATCAATACCAGTAGTCCTGTGATACATAGCCAACTGCATTGAACTGAACATAAATTCAACATAAAGTAAGGACCACAACACCATAAGCCGAAATTGTTCACATCGGGAAGAATGTCATCACTACGACATTTAACCAACATTGACAATACCAGTAGCGCTATGATGCACAGCCAACTGCATATTCCCACTGCCAAGCTTATCAAAATCGACAGCAACAGTACATTATTAAGAGACAACCAGACACACTAGCAGAAGAACGGGTTGCGTTCAGAAGAATGTCATCTCTATGATATTTAACTGGCATTAACATCAATACCAGCAGTCCTGTGATACATATAGCCAATTGCATTGAACTGAACATAACTTCAACATAAAGCAAGGACCACAACAACATCAGCCGAAATTGTTCGCATTCGGAAGAATGCCATGACTACAATATTTAACAGACATTTACATCAATACCAGTAGCATGGTGATGCACAGCCAACTGCATTGAATTGAACACAATTTCTACATATAGGTGTAGCAAGGACCACAACAACATAATCCAAAATGTCCATCTTGTAAGTTTTTTTTATATCCATGAGAAAAGCTTGCTTAAAACCAATTGCTCTGCCTTAAAGAGTGGTCCATCCATCGACAAGCTTTTCACCAAGGGCAGCTAAATCTACCACATGATGAACTGCTGAAAGTCCGGAAAAATGAAAATAAAATGGGCCCTCAAAAAGATGAATACCTTTAAAAGTATTAGTAAACAATTTAAAAGTAAAACTACAACATCAACATGGAGAAGGAGGAGGAGGAGGGAAGTCGAAGAAAGGGTCTAAATAATCTGAGAAAGAGAATGGAGTCCTAAAACTTGAGCTAAGAATGATATGCTAATGCCCCCTTGAGAAAAACCAGAAATTTGAACCCAAAGTTTTTTTGAAAAGGAACCATATTTATCAGAAACAAAAACCAATTTCAATTATGCAGACATTGAAAAACATATAGTTTCTAAGAAAGAAAGAAAAAACTAGAGCACATGCTATCAAGACCAACATACTTATAGTAAATAAAATAACAACTTTGACAATCCTTACATCCGTTTAACATCTCATATCATCAAAGCAAAGCATAACCCACAAACAGAGAAAAAAGGGAAACTCCATTGATGATTTAAAGGGGAATAGGTTCCCTTTTTCCTCATAACCAGTAAAAGTAACTTGAAAAATGGTTTTAAATAAAACTACAAGGAAACCCCTTTACCTAAATAAAACTAAAAAGAATGAGATTTGAGAGTAGAATCACCATTGGCAGCATCGGGTTTCTCCTTAACACGAGAAGGTGGGATGATGAGATTGTCTGTTTTAGACCCAAAAGAGTGTCCAACTTTCATGGCCGAGTCTTGAGAGCTCTTATGCACTGATACACATGAACCCATCTCTCTCCTTCTCTTTTCTTTTTCACTTTAGTTTTTTTTTATATATCTCCAACTCTTTAGAACCTTGACATCAGCTGCATAGTAAAACAGAGAAAAATATGAAACGTTTCTTCCTTTTTTGTTAATCCAAAGGCATAAATGGGAGAGAGGAAGAAAATAGAGCGTTTTATTGGCGTTATGCTAAATGAGAGTAGACAATGGGAACCTTCAAGCTCAACAATAACCATAAGCAAAGCGATGCATGGAATAATTTTATTAAATAAATATTTAAAAAAATCAAAGATAATCAAACATAAAGTAAGACAACTAAAATATTTGGATAAGAACTTTAAAACTGTTAATATTCATACAAAAAATGTATTCTTTTATTTGACTAAAATATTCTTTTGATTGATGAGAAAGGGAACAGATTAGAGACTTTTGATGAAATGTCCTCTGAAGTCATTAACTTCTTCTCAAATCTGCTTGGTTCCCCTGACCTTAATGTTAAACCTCCTGATCCTCATCTCTTAAAAGACTTGCTTTGGTCATCCTTACCTTCTGATTCCACTGCTGAACTGATCAAAAATGTCTCTAATGAGGAAATCAAAGAAGCTTTCTTCAATCAAGGGAATGACAAAGCCCCTGGCCCTGATGGGTACTCTCCTTTATTCTTCAAAAAGTCCTGGCATGTTATTGCTGAAGACATTACTGCTGCCATAAAACTGTTCTTCCAGGATTCTTTCTTGCTTCCTACTTTTAATGCCACAACTATAGCATTGGTTCCAAAAATTCCAAATCCAAGTAAAGTCAAAGACTTCAGACCCATTTCATGTTGCTCTGTGGTTTACAAAGCTATTTTTAAGATCCTGGTCAGCAGACTTTCTAGATTTTTTCCTGACTTAATCACTCTCAACCAAACTGCATTTATCAAAGGTAGAAATATTGTTCACAATACCCTCTTGGCTCAGGAACTTGTCAAAGGCTATAGCAAGAATTGTATTTCTCCTAGATGCTCTTTGAAAATTGATCTTCACAAAGCATTTGACTCTCTAAATTGGGGTTTTATCATTGCTATCTTAAAAGCTCTTGATCTTCCTCCTGTCTTCATTAACTGGATTCAAATCTGTTTTTCAACTACAAGCTACTCCATCTCTTTTAATGGGAGTTTAATTGGTCATTTCAAAGGTGCAAGAGGAGCTAGGCAATGAGACCCCCTTTCTCCTTTCCTATTTGTTCTCTCAATGAATATTCTTTCAAGACTTCTCAACCTAGCTGCTGCTAAAGGTACTTTTGGTTACCATCCTAAATGCAAAAGAATTGCTCTTACTCACCTCTCTTTTGCTGATGACCTTTTAATATTTTGCAAAGGGTCAGTGGATTCTGTTATTGGTATTACTACTGTCCTTGATCTTTTTTATGAAATGTCTGGGTTAAGCCTTAATACTTCTAAATGTGATATGTTTGCTGTTGGAATTTCCTCTGCTGATCTTGAAAAAATTAAATAGATTACTGGCTTCAAGCTTAGCAGACTCCCTGTTCGTTACTTAGGTATTCCCTTGGTAACTAGGAAAATTTCTGAAAAAGACTGCTCCTCTCTCGTTGATAATATTAAAGCTAGACTACAATTTTGGTCTGGTAGAACTCTCAGTTATGCTGGCAGATTGGAATTAATTCGAGCAGTGTTATTTAGCATTGCTAACATTGGAGCAGACAACTTAATCTTCCTTCTTCTGTTATTAAAAAGATTGAACAACTCTATTCAAGGTTTTTCTGGAAAGGGACTGACAAATCAACTGTTGGTGCTAGGGTGAATTGGCAGAAAATTTGTCTTCCTAAATCTAAATGGGGTCTTGGCCTCAAGGACTTAAGAACATGGAATAAGGCATGTCTGATGCTTCTTTAAAACACATTCTGGCAGGTGAAGGTTCTTTATGGGTGGCATGGCTTAGGAACTACATTTTCAATGTTTATGACTTCTGGAATATTGAGATTAAGTCTTCAATGAGCTGGAACTTAAGACAAATATTGAAAATGAGACCAGAAGCTTTTTCAACTTTACTGCCTTCTATGACAAAAGTCAAAGAAATCTGGAATGTTATCAGAGTAAAGACTCCTAAAGTCCCATGGCATAAACTGATATGGTTCCCCCTCCATATCCCCAAACACAACTTAATTACTTAGATGGTTTTCCTTGACAGACTTCCTACAAAAGCAAGGTTACAACGCATGAGACTTCTTAACGACTGCCATTGTATTTTCTGTGGTGCTGCCATGGAAACAAGGGACCATCTTTTCTTCGAATGTTCCACTGCTCGTTCTCTATGGACTGATGTATTCTCTCTTAATGGTTTGCAGAACCATCTTTTATCTTGGAATGATCTCCTTACTTGGGCTAAATGGAAGGGTAAATCTCTCATCAACTATATCTTTAAGCTTGCTTTCAATGCACTTATTTACACTCTATGGGAAGAAAGAAACAAACGGATTTTTCAAGAACGTTCAAGGACCATTGAAGATCTTATTCAAGTCATTAAGGAAACGGTTGGTTTTCAATTAAGGGGTAGAAACCTTAATAGATTAGATACTGTTAATATGACTCTTTGTAATAATTGGGGTATTATTTGATTGTTGTTATTTTTTGTATGTAGCAATCCTTGTATCCTGAACTCTGTTTTTTGTAGCATCTCTTGCTCTTTGGGTAATAATATGATTTAATTATCCAAAAATAAATAAATAAATAAATAAAATTAGTTTTGCTCTAATTTTCTCGATTTTTGTATAGTTTTTTTGTATCATTTTTTTTGTTGGTCGTCAACCGTTGATATTCATTTTTTTTATTTCACATCTTTTGTTTTTCCTTTGTTTTTTTAATTTTTAATAACTTTTTATTTTTCTATACTTTTATGACTCGTTTTTAGTCTTCTTCATAAATTGTTTGGTCGTTCTCTTCGTTTATTTATGATTGAATTTGAAATTGCTTCGACTGATTAAGATGATGCTTATTTGTTATCATGTTGATCTTCACTCTTTTAGATTCTCGTATTGAATTTGGATATGTTATTTGTTTGCGAGATAATTTTCTCATGATGTTCGATTCTGATTTATTTATCGATTTAATAATATATATATATATCATTCAAATGTTTTTGGATGAGTTATTTTACCTTATTCTTGTATATTTTCAAGTAACTAATTTCTTATGTCAAAGATTATAGAAAATATCTTAATTCTGTTAATAGGTCTAAAATTATGAAATAATAATTTTTTTATAGAAAGTCGCTAGTTTTATTAAAAATTAAAAATATCCAAAATTACAATGAAGATTTACAAGCATAATCATAAACCTAAAATATAATTATGACATTTTCCTATTTACATAAAGACAAAAAACTAGCCACCTAGATCACATAAGAACCAAAGAATGAAAAGGTTAAAAAACCTAACAAAAAACTCGAATAAAATAAAGATATGAACATATCTGATTGTATCGGTAAACGAACCACAAGGGGATGAAGCTACTGAAAGATTATCGACTCGCAAATCAGAGTCAATCGACGTGAGAAAACTATTCACGAACGCAAAATGCGTATCCAAATCAATCCGAGAGTTCAAAGCAGGGAATATCATCATAATAACAAATAAGCACGAACTTGATCAGTCGTGGCAATGTCAAATCCAACCCTGAGAAAAAAAAACAAAAATAACGAAAAAAATTGTAAGCTACCAAAAGGCAGAGAAAAACATGCCACAAAGACAGAGATAAATGTATCATAAAGCAGAAAACATATCACAAATACATAATTATTCTTATTAAAAAACTAAAAAAACAAAGAAAAAAAAAGATAATCGGTGGGCGACAACCAGTATTAAAACTGGTAACGATGCCGGTTAAACAAAATTAAAGAATAAAAAGTTATATTATCAATAAAATTAACACAAATTATAAAGAATAGTAAAAGGGAAAAGAGTGAAATAATAAAATTTTGAAAAAAAAATACTGTTGCCAAATAATATAATTATATTCATTAATTAATATTTTTAGTAATTTACCAAATACAATTATATTTATAATTAAATTTTTAATATTTAAAAATTTCATTTATCAAAATAATATCTTACAATATAGAAGATTAATATTTCATGATGTATATTTCTATTTACCATCAACAAATCAAATGATGATATATTATCATAAACTTTTAAAATTAAGTAAATTAAATTCATTATTGATGTGAGAGTGATTATAACATATATATATATATATATATATATATATATATATATATACCTTGTACGAATCAAGTTATCTCATTATCATTAGTTAAAAGGATGATTATTATCTTTAAACAAGGAATGACGTAAGATTTTATGTTAAGATGACGAATTTAAACTAAAATTTCAGGGGACGAAAACGAATTTTCAATAGAAAATACGTAAAAAAAATATAAAATGTATGACAATTTTAAATTTTCAGGGGAGACTGCCCCCACCTATCCCTCGATCCATCCTTGTCTTTAAAGGTCTAGAGTTCGAACATCAACAACTGTAAGGTATTTGAGTGATTATTATCAAATAGTCAAGAATCTTTAAAACATATACTACCATTTGTAATCGTGTTAAATTAATTAAAAAAAACTAATTCATATTTTATTTTCTTAGATTCGATAACAATATTAGAATAAATTGGTTGAATTCGTTTCGTAGCTTTGAATTTCTTTATTTTATAAGATGTTAATTCATAGCTTTGAATAAATAAATAGGTATGGACCTAACTCTTGGATTCCTTTCATTTACGCCAGCTAGCACGAATATGTTTGCATTGATTTAAATGGTTGGATTTGGATTCAAGTTTAGTGTGTATATGAAATAATAATATAGCCAATTTTATTTGAATTAAACAACTAATTTTTTAATATCGAAAGGAAATTTTCTAAAATTCAAAGTAAATTACTTATAATTTTTCATTAAATAATGAAAAAAACACTAAATAATTGGATGAAAAAAAATCAAAAATTGAGTGATAAAATATTTTTCTTAAAGTTAGGTGATTATAACAGAAAAAAAGAAAACATTAAGTGACTAAATACGTAGTTTACCCATGAAGAGTAGGTAAGCACGTCGACAAAATTGAGTAGTAAACGGTGCGGTTGAGGACAAATCTATATACGCAAGTCCCCAACTACAACGATCTTCTTCTACCTCAGCCAGCGGTCCAGCGTCCTTTCATATTGCCGTCTGAAAACATCTGCAAACCCGAAAAAGAAAAGGCCGAAATCGGGTCGGATTCCAAAAATGGGCGTAACACCGAAAATTGCTCCGTCCATGCTTTCATCGGATTTTGCTAATTTAGCATCGGAGGCAAAGCGCATGCTTGACTTTGGAGCTGATTGGCTTCATATGGATATCATGGTAAAAAAAGCCTCTAACTTTGCTCTTCTAATGGATAATTAATTATAAGAAAATTTATTTTAAAAGATCTAACCCTTTTTTGGTTTTGGGTTTTCTTCTACAGGATGGGTATGTTTCATTGCTTTGACCAAAGTTATCTCCTCTTGAGATTTTGGTTCTTTCTCCTTCTCAACTTTTTTTTTTGGGTATTTTTATGAATTATTTTAGAAAAGTAAAGGAGGCACTTTCAAATAATCAGAATCAATGGCTGCTATGCAAAATTTTTATGAATTCTGTTCTTAGACTGAGGGTATGAATATATGTTGGTAAAGTGAGGAACTATGTGTGTTGTATCCATAATTGTTAATATCTTGGAAAGTGATTAGAAAGTACAAACATTGGAAAAGAATAACTAATTTTAATTGTTTAAATTGAGCAAAAAAAAATTTGGGTTCTTTTAATGACTAATCCATATTGTTGTTTAGATTTGCAGTTTTATGATAATAGCCAAGCTCTTTCTGTTAATCTTGTCGAGTACTTTTAGATGATTGATTACTTGTTGAATGTTGTTATATTTATATACAGGCACTTTGTCCCGAATCTAACCATCGGCGCTCCCGTCATTGAGAGTTTAAGAAAGCACACAAAGTAAACATTCTTTATGCCCTGGCACTAATATGGCTCACTAAGATTATTACCAAGTTTGACAACTCTAAATAGATCAAGGATTCTGCTTTTCCTACAGTGCATATCTGGATTGCCACCTTATGGTTACTAATCCGATTGATTATGTTGAACCTATGGGTAAAGCTGGCGCATCCGGTTTCACTTTTCACGTTGAAGTATCCAAAGGTAGGTTGTGATCCGGTCTTCCGTTTTCATTTTTGTTTTACTTCATGTAATCTTATCTACCTTTCAAATTCCTTGTTCCTTATGAAAAAGTATCGGCTTTTGCAGAAAATTGGCAAGAACTTATTGGAAGAATTAAGTCGATAGGCATGAGGCCTGGTGTGGCGTTAAAGCCTGGGACACCAATTGAGGACGTTTATCCTCTGGTATGAATTCCTTTTGCCTGATTTTTTAGATTTTGAATCTTTTGTTTCAGCTGGTTCTTGGAATTGAATGGGGTTCAGCCTAATGCTTCGATCACCATTATCTCGTTTTTGTCAATTTTTCTCGTCGGTGGGTGATTACCTACTAGATTGACAGCGAGAATCCTGTGGGAATGGTTCTTGTGATGACTGTAGAGCCAGGATTTGGTGGACAAAAATTCATGCCAGAAATGATGGATAAGGTTCGTATCATTTTTCATTGTTCAAATTCTATTTCAGACTTTCTGGAATTTAGGCATAATAACATAAACAGCCCTTAACATTTGTCACCTTTTCCGATTGTTGTGCCCTTGAAGTTTTTTTTGGGGTACTTTACACCATAAAGTTTCATTTTTTAGTCACTATGGTCATGATTTTATTTGAATGGCATTTTCTTTTACTTGCTTTGAAGGTTCGCGCTCTAAGGAAGAAGTACCCATCACTTGATATAGAGGTAAGTGAAGTTCTTACTTTGTAATATTCTATAGCTTATTCGTCGCTTAAATTCGGTGATGATTACTTATTCGAAATTACCGTCTTCTTTTGATACTGTAACGTTATGTTACAATGATCCTTCATTCTAGTTGAAGTATTCTTATACAACATATAAATGAACACATAGGTATGGAGATATGACATCCTCCAAATACCTGGATGAAATTTGTATCCGACAGTTACGCTTGAGTCCGAGTGACTTGGCTGAAACAGCCTAGCGTTGAGGGTTTTTTTTGGGGGTTGATTTGCAGGTGGATGGTGGTTTAGGGCCTTCGACAATCGAAATGGCGACTTCAGCAGGAGCAAATTGCATAGTAGCAGGGAGTTCGGTATTCGGAGCTCCTGAACCGGCGGCGGTTATATCCCTCATGCGAAAGAGTGTTTCCGAAAATCAAGAGAAATATTAACACGATTTCACATGCAGTATAAGGCGTTTATGGGTTTCCATGAGTATGTGTAACAGAATATACAAACATGATGAGTGTTGGAATTCAATAAAATGATACTAATGTTCATCATCTCATGATGAGTGAATAATATTTTGTTCTCAATTGTCGCTTAATTTCAAAATTCATGAGACCTTGTTTCTTGTTTTGTATGTAAGATGCATGAAATTACTAACAAAGAACTCGTAATAGTGGACATACATGGCCCTGAAATTTAGATAAACCCTTGCTTTTGAGAACCTTTCTTCCTTTTGTCTTTTTTGTGTGTGTTCTTCGTTCCTCCCATGTATTTTTTTTTCCTTCAAAAAGATGATTGGAAAAGTTAGTTTTTAGAATATGGACTTTTTGAATTTGTCATTGACAATTCCAAAAATTGCAGCGGAAGAAGGGGTTGTTGTAGGCCGTAAATAAGACGAGATATATCGTAAGTTATTCGAAATTGACTTGGTCAAAGTTCGGTAAATATTCTACTTGATACTCGAGCTCGGTCCAAAAAAAGTTGTCATAGCTTGGTCAAAAATAGTGGTCAAAGCTCGAGCTCGAGTAGAGTTCTTACCAAGCCGAAACGAATTACTTGATACTCGACCCAAAAAGCTCGTGAGTACCTCGAAAATATAATATTTAAGATTTTACTTTTTTTAAAAATAAATTATTAATAATATTAATATTTATGTGTTGATTTTTTTAAAAAAATATACAATGTAAGTTTTTTATATATTTAAGGTTCAAGTTCGAGTTTGATGAGTTAATTGAGTTAAGATTTTTTTTCGGGCTTCAATTCATGATTTTAAGTTCGAGTTCAATTTTAAAAATTTTAGGTTCACAAGTTTTTAATCACTGATATTCGATTTATTGATCGACTAATCTAGATCGGATATTAGAGAGGCAAGAGCGACTCTCTCAACTCAGTTTGCTCCATTTGCAAACGTCAGGATTCGAATCCTTGATCTTGGTTAAGGGACTTAGTGTCTCATCCCACTAGATCAATTGGTTGTTGGTTATAAAATGGTCTTTAATTTAATCAAAATTTATTATTATTTTAGTATAACAATAATAATTTTATAACCATCCAATATATAACAATTTTATACTTTTTTAAAATTAATAACTCAAAAACATTTTAATATAGTTCAGTAACCTAGTAACCTATTGTGTATTTACTTTGGATGGGTCTACAACGCACGTCGTGCACTGTAACATACTATTAAAGTGATACACCAAAATACATTACTAATTAAATTATCCTTATCAAGTAAATATAAAAACAAATTACACGCTTTATATCTAAATTATCACTTTTATTTTATTTTAGTATCTATTTATAATACATTTAGTAATTAATTATTATTTTAATTCTGTATAATATTATTTAAAATCAAATAGATAATTTATCGAAGAATTTTCCTTACCCTAACATTATCGGAGACTGATTCCAAAGTTATTCGTCTGGAAAGCTGCAACGGATCCACGTGTCACTACATGAGTCTTCAACTATTTCTAAAGCTCCGAACAACTTTTCTGTTCCAAACCGCATATCAGATGGTAAGAATACATCGTTTTCAGGGATCACAAATCTCAACCACGTGATTTCTTCAAGCACCGAGCCAAGAAATGAAAAACTGACACGTGTCAGTGCCACGATAGTAATTTTCTCACTCAACGGTGGCATTTGTCTCTTTCCCATCGCAAAATGAAGGAAAGATCCACTGCTCTTTCGTTAACCCTCTCCCTCAGTTGCCCTTTTCTCTTCCTTAAAACCCTACCGCCACCATTGCAATGGCTTGCCTCCCCAAGCTCCGAGCTGCCACTGCCGCCGTTTCCGCCTTCGTTCATCCACTACGGTGCTTAGGATCCGCGGCTGCTTTGGAGCTCCCCTACGACGATAAATATTACGACTACGAACAAGCTCACTGGGACCGGCGCTCGGCTCAGCCGAAGATTGATGTGGATGGGTCGGCGACTGAGAGGGGAGTACAGTGGGTGCTTATAGGGGAGCCTGGTGTCAAACGACATGCTTACGCGGAGAGGCTCTCGAAGCTTCTAGAAGTTCCACATATTTCAATGGGCACCCTCGTTAGACAAGAGCTCAATCCCCGCTCTTCTCTTTACAAGCAGGTCTAAATTTTTTTTCTTTGTGAATAAGTATCTGTCTAAATTTTAGTGTATTATTTGTTGTTTGTGTGTTTTTGAAGGTTCCTGTAATATGGGAGAAGATCCTTTTTTTTTGTCTAGCGTAAAAGATTACAAAGAAATTTGTCATAGTCTGATTATTGAACTTTGTTTAATATAATATAGTGAAGAATGCTAGTGGCTTGAAGTCATTTGGGTTTAGGTTGCAAATGCTGTTAATGAAGGGAAGCTTGTTCCAGAGGATGTAATTTTCGCTTTGTTGTCTAAGAGACTTGAAGAAGTTTACTATGGAGTTGAAAATGGTTTTATTCTTGATGGGATTCCTCGTACCAGGATCCAAGCTGTAAGTAATCTGTGATTTTGATAGTGTTTATATGTAGTCCTATTTAATTTTAGGCAAATCAATCTCCTTTTGGTGCTAAGATTCTAAAGCTGAATGTACCTCCTTTTTTTAGTCCCATTGAATTGCTTGTTCTCTTGTTTTTTATTTTCTTTTTCTTGCAGGAGATTCTTGATCAAATTACCGACATTGATCTGGTAGTGAACTTTAAATGTACTGAAGAGTGTATGTTGAAAAGCTCAGAAAGCGAGGTTCTTCACATAGGCAATTCCAAAGATGTAGGAAATTCCTGGAAGAAAAACGTCCGTGTGTACTCAGAGCAGGTAATGACATTGGATTATCCATTTGTCTGAAACATGTTATGTATTAGTCTCTTTTGTTACTCTCTGGTTAGTGAAATGCTTGTGTGAAAATATGATAAACAACTGAATTCTTGAAATCAGGATCAAATATTCGTTTTGATGTATGTAGGCGAAGTCGGTGGAGGATTATTACAGTAGGCAAAAGAAGCTTCTCAACTTCCAGGTGCCTGGTGCACCAGCAGATGCATTGCAAGGTCTTTTGGCTGCGCTACATCTCCAGCATATCAATGCTCTCACTTCTTCACAGAAGCTGACGGCGTAAACGTTGATATTCTTTAAAACTAGTGATATCCCGTCGCTATTCTTTAAAACTAGTGATATTCTGGCGTCGTAGTAAGCATGTAACTATTGAGTGATAGACGAGTTTTTGAGTGTGGCGAACAACCTAGTTGGATACTTGGATTTGCCTTGAAGTTTTGTTTCCCTTTTGTGAGTTACTATGCAGTTGGAAAGTATGTAATGCACTTTTTGCTAGGAGAACAGATGATCATTGACCTATATAGTATCTTAGGGTGCGTTTGGTTCACGGAATGTAAGATTACCAGTGGGAATAAAAGATTACTAGGGAATAGAATTACTGGAAATGTTATATTACTGTGTTTGGTTGGTTTGGCAGGAATGTAAGATTACGTGTTTGGTTGAAGGAATAAAAGATTACTAGAATGTATATTTTATCAAATTGTTCTTGTTTATATTTTTTAACAATTGAAATTTTAAATATTTAAATAAAAATTATTTATATAAAAATTCTATTTGTTGATAATATATTACTTGAGTATTTAAATATATCATGTATTATTTTAATTTTAATTAATATTAAATTTTACATAATTTATGTAAAATATATTAAAATTTTACATCAACATTTAACTAAAATATTCATAATAATAAAAGATAAATAAAATGTTTATAATTTAAGATATTTTATAATTTATAGATATTTTAATTAATATTAAATTTTACATAATTTATGTAAAAATGTTTACATTGTAAAAATTCTTCAAAGATATTCGTAATAATAAAAAATGTAAATTATTATTTTTATCTAAGATATAATATTTATTATATTATAAAAAGATATTCTCAGATTATAAGATTCGATATGAATAATAAATCGATTTAGATGTTGACATGAATAACAAATAATAACGGTCAAGTAAGCAACAATAGAATTGACCCAAGACTCTGTCAAGAAAACAAAATCTATAAATGAAGTCAGCCTCTCATTCCATAGCTGCATTACAAAGAAATATGCATCTCATTTGCTTGCCATTTCAACTATAAAATAACGACATAAAGAATGCTGGTTCATAAATAAAACAAAAATACCTGTTGCAGATGCAGTGGGGGCTACCAAGCATCGTACAACGACTGCACATATATAAACTTCAGTTTCAACTTTTCCTCTTACTCGTATGATTAATTAGCAAGGAAAAAATTGCCAGATCTCTGAAGTATGGCCAACTCTATGTTGTTGAAGCTTGGGAGGAGAGACATGATGAAGCCGAAAACAATCATATGGATTTCCTTTATAATCCCCCACCATTGATTACCACCATTTCCTAAATCGGGGTCGGCTTCATTCTCATTTTCAACTGCCTGGTTGCAATCATCTGTTGGTCGCTGCTCCTCCTCCGCTTCTGCTAGTCGGTTAACATATGATGTTAAATAAATAAAATATGAATGAAAGGATGACAATAACAAATAAAGCAATCATTTCTAGGTTGAGGAAAATACAGCGTTTGTTAACAAAATGTAATGCATCAAAAGTTTGTACGTTCTTAGCCCTGTCAATGGCTTGATTAGTCTCATCCATCATCTGGTTTCCTCTATCCATTAGCTGTTGATTTGTCATATCTGCAGAACATTGAAGTTGTCTCAGAAGAAGTTCAAAATTGAAGAAAAATATGATGCCTACAAATCATTTCCAGTACATTCCAACAACATCCCAAGAATCAATGTAAATGACTCAGAATTGGATCAGGCAGAACGGTAGAACAAAACTTCATAGTAAGATCATTTATGAAAATTCATGTTGTCATACTAACAGAATATATTAGCCACTAGATAAAGCTCTAATCAACGTTCGAATAGTTCTTCATAGTAATGTTCGCATTGAGAATTACTGGCACATCTTACAGCCACTACCATTAGACAGTCACTCTAAAATAAACGAGAAACTGAGAATTGTTATGGCATGCGTAAAAGTAAAAAGGGAAATAAAAGAGGCAAACAATGTTTGGTGTGAATTGATGCATATGTGTATATTGTCAATTTTAGAAAGAAACACTGATTGGTGAAGAGCAATGTCTATCTATGTAACTATTATACGCACATTTTAATTTTCAACTTGTACTTCCACAACCTCTCTTCTTGTTACACAATGCAAAGCAGTAACAATACCACTATACCAGAAACAGAACCTCCATAATTTCATCTAATGCAAAATTTTAATGTCTATCTTTGTGTTCATATGAATCAAATGCAAAATTTCCTCTAATTTTTACAACAAAAAAGAACCTCCCAATCCAATACCAGAAACAGAACAACCACAACTCTACGTGCCATGGACGCAGAAAACAAAAAAACTCCATAATTAGAATGAAAGAGTCTATATAATCCAGTTATAAAGCGCTCACCTTAGATTTCAAAGGCTTCCAATAGCAATTAGGATGATGACACCAGTTATTTTCAAAGCCTCATGTAAAAGAAAATTAATGGATGCAGAATTGAGCTTGTAAAACATAACATCTGACAAAGATCAAAAATTACAAAAGAAATTCTCATGATAGTTACTTCAAGGTGCAAAAGAATATGCCGCATGAAATAAAGGGTAGCATCTATTTCCTTTTTGAATTAAAAGAAAATGCAGCACTAAATATCATACGAAAGTTTTATACTTCATTCAACTTACACTTTCAGGTCTATTCTATCTAAAAGAAACCTGAGATTATCTCATGGGATTTCCCCCTCAAGATCCATCATCTAGCAAGCAACAGTAGAGAAAAAAGGAACAAAAGCAGGGATTTGCAAAACCAGAATACGTCACAGCCTGAAAACTAGAAACATAAAAGCACTATTGATGTTACTAACCCTGCAATTTGAACAATAGCAGTTCAGCAATTAGCAACAGGATTATCCGCAACCAAGAATGAAAAGGCATAAACTTTATTAGCAGTCGTCCCTAACATCTGACTAGCCAAAACCATCTTCATATCCCCAGACATTCCTTTCGATGATTCATAATCTTTAGCGTACTGGCACATCAATCTTCCCCCAAGTTCCATCTTCTTCTCGACTAATTTCTTCAGCTCCTCCACGTTTCTAACATCTACAACCTTTTCCCCCTTCCCCTCCTCTCCAAACACTTTATTTTCCAACTCCGATTCATCCTCGTACCACGCACTCTGAGGCATTTGAGTTTGACATTTTTGCTTTTGCATTAGGTTTCAAAGAGCTCAAAGTTCCTTCGCAGAAGCAAGCTTACGGGGAGTGGGTATTTTAGCCAACAGACGACGGGAATAATCAAATACCTAAGGGAGGCGGGGGATAGATATTCCCGGGAAAGCTGACTAAAAATTCACTGTTTATATTATTTCATTCCTGACACTTGGTAATATGATTGATCCAAACGTATGTATTTTCTCCCAGGAAAAAAATATTACTCCCAAGGAACCAAACAGGACCTTATAATATAAACATTGCTTTGTCTTCTTCATTTTCATCTACATTTTGTTTTTCTAATTAAATGCCAAAAGGCTAATTGTCTCTTCAAAAGTATTTTACCATTTATAATGGCTTTGTTTAAAACAAGTATGACGAATCTTTGATTTATACATTAATAACCATAAAAAACCAAAATTTACTTGCAAATTTACATCTCAAGAAAGAAAACAGTAGTGTCAACCATTTATATACTTGTCCACATATATGGTCTACAATTTATTCCGAGTTCATCCACACATCTCTTAGGAGTTTATATCTGATAGCATTTTGATTGCTATTTTCCTTTGATATCCAGTTGGGCTTTGATTGAACAGATGATGGGTGGTCATCGAAGATTGAAGATAAGGGTGAGTTCAATTCATCGAGTTCATCATCGCTTACGTGTGATTTTTTGAGGACTGACGATCCACTTCTTCTCAGGTGAGATTTGCTTCCAACTTCACCAATGATGCTAGCAACAGCTGTTGCTGAAGGTGGCGAATAAACCGGAGGAGATGCTGCACATGGAAAGTTTGTAATAGACCCTTCCCTGGCTTCAAGAGGATCCTGAGTCGAAGTAGAGGCAAAAAGGGGCTTAGGCTATCAAACAAACTAGCACTTCTCGAGGAAATCGTTACATGGTTTTACTCGAGTAAAGTTCTTTTCCGGTGTAGATATGTCAAGAACACATCATACTTCATGAATTGACATTTTAAGTTCAAATCATACGCACATGGAAGATGTCTAATCTATGAGTACTTCAAGATTATAAGACTAACCTCAGTTTCCAGGGCTTCAAGCACGTCATCTGGAACTGGATCAGGGCAAAACTCATCGGGGACAAAATGTCGAGAACTCTCTTGATCAATGTTGCAGAAAATGCCGGACATACCTTTGAAAATAAAGATTAAGCAGCGTAAATAAACATCAAAGCATGACCATTAAACCCCCCCCCCTCCCCGAAATAAACCAAAAGGTCTAAAGTTTGGGTGCTGAACCTCTTCCCTGATGGGTTTACTTAGAAGCATGTCCTTGGGAAGCATCATGAGATCACTCAAGGCATTCAAAAGATTGAAAGACTTTACTGATGTGGTTTGTCGCTCATCACCGTCATCCTGCTTATTCTCGTTTCCAACAAAGTCATCATCGTCAATACCAAAGAGATCAGTCAACCATCTGGACCAGTTTCCGATCTGACATAAAAAAATCGAAATTTCTTTACTTCAAAGGAGAAAAACCAAGGTACTATCACCAATATCAAAATATTGCAAGCAGTTGTAACCACTGCTTTATGATGGTTATGATGGATTATGGATAAAATATAATACACCATTATCAAACTCAGATTAATCTCAAGACTACCACATTTGCATTGCTTACCGCATTTTTCAGCTGTGCACCAGCACCGAAACTTGTTTTCCCAGTTGGAATGGGAAGCACCAGAGGATCGCTAATGGGATCAGACACAGGATCAGTGGGGATTTCATCAGCAGAATCACGAAGAATGGCGTTGAACATCGCCGCATCTAATCTAGCCACGCATTGCTCCATTATCTAGATGCATGATAAGGATGGATTATAACATAAATGAAAAGGGAAACAAAATCATCACAGTACTCGAATTCCATAGCAGACTGCCCTCTAGGATAAAAGGCAAAGCAACAATCAGTTTAGCACTTCTAGAATTTCAGTTTTTACCTCCAATGCTTTTCTAGTCTCTTATACTAGTGTGTGTTTGTGTACGTTTTAGTCGATTTTCAAAAGCAAAATATAAATACCAATTTAGACAGCAAACACAAGCAGCCACATTCATGCCCTGCAGCTCGAACTGGGCAAAGTTTTTCACAAGCATCTTTGAAAGCCTTCTTCCAATGGTCTAACGAAAAGTTCACTCGGTCTTGATTACTTGAGCTACGTATCCTCCCATAGCTTTTACTTGAGCCAGAGCTCAGACTTTTATCAATTTCCTTTCTAGACACAGTCTGCATATGTGGAGTGAGAGTCTGACGATGGAAATAAGGAACATAATTTGGTCAGACAACCATCGGAGTATGACATTCAGTGTACGATCATGTAATAGAAAATCTTTATCGATATAAGGGAAGAAAAATAGTTTATAGGGTTACCTGCCACCAGACAGACTCGTTGATTCTAGAAAAGATCCATGTTTCAACTCTTTCTAGGGCAGAAATAAAGACGAACGGATTGTCCCAATCACTAGATGTTTCCTTTTCTTTTCTCCCAGGAGATGACTCTTTCCATTTCAGTGGAGATGATGCAGGTTTCTTTCCCTTTCCACCTCCATTTCTTTCCATGGGTCCAGCAGAAAGTGGTAACTTTAACTCTCTGATACTTTCATTTATAATCACTCGCAACACGACACAGTTTGACAACCAGAATGTCAATCTGTAGTTATCATACATATGATCTATGAGCTAATGAAAAATCATGCATATGATATATGAGCTAAAAAATGAAATCCAATTGCCAGCTTTGTGAAAAATGTTCATGTGAAACAACAAGCTTAATATGACTTGAACGTACCTTGGAACATCATTTCCACATGCTTTTGTAACCAGAGCAAGTCCCGAAACAGCACTTCGAGCTGCACTCCCACTCCTTAATTGGGAGCCTTCCTTACAAGCATGAAGATACAGCCTAGAAAGACGCCGAGCTGGAGCATGCACTTTACTCATGGAGCTTCCGTGCTCGGCAACTACTGAATAAAGAGAAGCCTCGATGGCAGCAGCTTCTCTCAGCTCTCCTTCAAGCATCTTTATCATGTTTTCCAACTGCTGCACTTTGTTATCTAAAACGGCACTTCTGGTATCCTTGGGATATACCTTTGAAACTTTTCTTTCGTTGCTCAATTTGCTTCTGAAGCTTCCTGCCCCATGCTGTGCATCTGCTGCAACACCAACTTCCTTCAACTCCCCATTCTGGTTATTGGTCAACAACCTGTTGCTCCTAGCCAAGTCGGATGAAGCTCGAATGGACTTCACATTCATTAGTCTATCAGTTTTGCCATCATTTGTACCATGATCCCCCTGGCTTAAAACATTTTCTTCTGATTGAATATTCAATTGCCCATTCTGTTCCAGGTATTGTCCTTCATGTCTGTTTTCTTGCCAGCCATATCCCGAGTATCCTTCCAAAGAACAATCATATGCATCATCAGCAGCTGAAGCCTTAGAACCAGAAGATGCATCTTCCTTACATTGATCACAGCCATTGCTACTCATGTTGCTCTTGATTTCATCCTGTGTCTTTTCATTAGTCAACAATGATGAAGACAAATGAAATTTAGGGGTAACAACATTTTCTCGTAGTGGTGAATTAGAACCATAAGAATTAAACGTGGAAGCACGAGCATCTACAAAGCCCTCAAAGTCCGATGATAAATCCGTTGATGATGACTTTGCTACACTTGTTCTTCCCAAGTTCAACTTTGAAGCCAACATATTTTCCCCTTTAACTTCCTTGCCATCAATTACAGCAACTGATCCATTCTGCAATCCAGTTGCGATGAAAAGAAGGTGCATTTCAGCTAAATAATTCTTTCAGATAAATTTTTCCAGCATTGGGAAATCATAAAGGAAATAAGAAGTCACCTCTTTATTTTGAGGAAGTGAACTACGATTAGATTCCAACGTTGAAGAAGAAATGGTCAGAGATGAGTGCGAGGAAACATCATCATCAGTGAAGGAAGCAATCTCAGCTTCTTCGGCATATTCTTCATCCATGAGGGACTCGCTTCTTTTCCTGTCTGTGGTAGCTCCTTCGACAGGCCGCCTCTCGACGAAGAAATGTTCTGACCCTTGTAAATTCGATCAATTTTAATGAACAAGATTGGCTGAGCAGCGCTACTACTATAGGTCCTTTTGGTGTTCATTGAAACAGTAACATCTACTGCCTCTTTGATAACACCACATTCGGCCAAATCCAAGATGCCAGTCGCCAACAACTGGATCTTTTCCCTTCGAGGTTCATACAAGTTAAATTCTAAGAAATTCTTATGGAACACATCAGCATCCCGGCCTTTAACAGACATGTCCCTCACTAGATTCACGGCTAACTTAAAGACTCATTAAACTCGATCTTCCCCTCGCCCACAATCGAACCCAGTGTGGGCGAAGCAGTCTTGGTAGACCCCGAATTACGTTCACCATTTTCCCACTGAATCAGGACGGACCGAAGTGATCTCAGTGACTGTGACGGTGGCCAAGGTTTAATCTCCTGAATTTGGATTAGATACTCAACGCGAACCGTCGGCCCTCTCCGGTTCTTTGCATTCAAACCGAGAACCATTGTTGCACAAACACACTAGTATTTGACCCTAAACTATTCAATCCACAGGAAAATTGAATTCCTGCAATGCAAAAAGCATTATAACTTCAAAAAGAAAAAGAATTTCATCAATAAATTAAATGCACAACTAATTTGTAAACCCCAAATACAAAATAAAGGCATCCCCTTTTTGCCTTTCAACGTTTCCGGTTTCCAGGCATTTTCTCAGCAACTAAACATACAAGCTTATATCTAAAACACAAACACAAACGCATACTCAAAAGCAACCGATTTTTCACTTTGGGCTATACTTAATGAGGGAAGAAGGTTCACCAGTAAAATTAGAAGAAGTGCAACAGCAAAAACATCGGCAATGCGGGAACTAGAGCACTAAAACACCGCGTTTTGGAGTGGTTTCCATAGTAGAAGAATACAACAAAGCTGAGAGATATATTTATGGCCTTTCTTTTGAGGTCCTGAGTATGTCTGGCTGGCTAAACGCCGACGTTTTGGAAGGTTTCGTCTCGTCCTTTTTCATTTTTCACTTTGATCGTGACGCCATGGCGGAAACGGTTCATATTAATTTAAATATCCCGAAGATGTAAAATGAGATTTCATCACGCGCTTTGAAGGAAAGTGAAGGAAACTCTGGGGGTCTTTTCCGTGTAGTTTGCGTCACTCTTTGGGATGTCGCGTGGGATTAAAGTGAAACAGGGGTTTCCTTTCACCGACAACACACTGCAGTTTTTCACTCCAATTAATAACGCTCGCAATCCTAGGAAAGTGGGCTCCACGCTTTTATAGGCTAAAATAATTTTACATAAAATGTAAATGCCACTTCAATTACATTTTTTTTAAATGTTTTAAGACAATATTAATATCAGTGGTTTCAAATATTAAAAGAAAAAGAAAATAATACGTATAAAAATAAAAATAAAAAATATTTATTAGAACCAAAGCAAGTATCGAGTAGGAAAGGTGGTGAAATCAGATTGTAGTTTGCAGTTAGTTCCCAACCAAAATGAACTTCAACTCAAAGCGAACACTGTCACCAAAGGGAAAGAGAAGAAGAAAAACGAAACAAAAGGAGAGAGAGAGTTGAGATGTCAAAGTCCAGATGAACAATTTTTTTGGGGTAAAATATAAAATAGTTCCCCAACTTTTATGTCTCTTGCATTTCGGTCACCTAACTTTTGAAAATTACAATACAGTCATCAAACTTTTAGTTCGTTTTCATTTTGATCCCCACAGTTACCTCCGTTAGTTTTGCTGACGTGCCACTTAACCCCCTTAATTTTATGAAGTTTATGAAGTGGCAGCAGCTTCTTCTTCTTCTTCCTTCCTTTTTCCTTCTTCCTTCTTTCTTCTTCTCACACTCTCTCTCAAGGAAATCTCAGATTCAAAACCTTGCCATTTAGGATGGAGCGTGGAGATTCAAATTTCAAAACCTTCCTTCTTTACCTAGTATTCTTAGGTTTCTTTGCTGTGGAAATACTCTTATTGTACTTTCTCAATGCTTTGTTTCACAGGAGGGTGAACTTGATGCCGTTGCTGTAGTTCATTCTTATGAGGATGACATGCCTGCAGGATCTCATAAGACAAGGCTAACTGCTCTGAATGTATGTTTTAACTTAGACATCGTTTTCTTCTCTCCAAAGGATTTACCACTGATAGTTCGTTTTAAACAGGTTCCTCCTATGGGTTTGTTCCACCCAACACTTTTGATTTCTGATTTATATCCTCCTCCACCCCGTGCTTGGTTAGTAATACTTATGCAATATTGCTCTCTTCTCTGGAAGTAGTTTTGAATTGTTTCCTTTAGGGTTATTTTGATGGTGTGCTTCACCAGCTTTCATGACTATGAAGATATGCTGGAAGAAACATGGCATATAGAATTCCCAAGAAGATCTGGCATGCCAGATGGTATTTATCCTAGCAATAAAGCTGGTTTACAAATGTGGGATAACTATCCATTTTTTCCAATGAAACCTAAGAAAGAAGAGACGGTTGGCCTAGCGGAAGCCATAACCAGTAGCATTCTTTCAACTGGTAGGTTTTTGCATAGTGCTAATTCAGCATGTTCTAATAACCCATAATATCCCATCCCAACCTAACTACTCAGATTTTTATTTTTATTTTCATTTGATAGGTCGCATAGACTTTCAAAGAAAATTGTTTTGTAGCATACAATTGGTGAGACTCGTAAGATGTTTAGACCATGTGATACCCTTTCATATTTTGAGAATCGAACTTTTAACTTGGTTTTGTGCTTCAGATTGGTGGAGTGGCTTTAATAGGTGGGTTCATTCCTGCTGTGGATGAAAGGTCGGTTTCTCTTTCTTCCCCCTTTCTCTTCATCCTACTTTGGGCATAGAGCAGTTAATATATGCAGTGATGGCATGTTCGATAAAAAATAAGAATCAGATTTAGTTGGTTTATTTGAACCCTAAATCATAAAGTATAAGTCTTGAAGAGTACTTGGGCTAGGTCAAATACCCTAGTTCTATATTGGCACTGTTGACTAAGAACGCATTAAGTGCATCGACTAAGTGGTAATAATGCTTCTAGATTACGTTGTGTTTCATATTTCGTTGCATACTATCTTCATGGAAACTTTAGTTTAAGAATCTTTTATCTGTTTTTCGTTTAAATCATCTCAAGAGTTTTTAGAATAATTTAAATAGCTTTTCGAATGTGCTGTGATTTTTGGTTTTTTTTTTTTTTTGAGATTAGGGTTTTCAAAGGAGGAGGAGGAGAAGGAGTTGACGGGAGGTTAACTGCCATGTCAGCCTAAAACTAACGGAGGTAAAGGCATGAATAGAAATGAAAATGAACTAAAAATTCGATGATTATATTGTAAGTTTTAAAAGTTTGGTGACCAAGATGCAAGTGTCATAAAAGTTTGGGGGCTATTTTAACATTTTACTCTTTTTTATCAAACCAAAAAGATGGTCGGTTGGTGAAGATCGAAGTATTATGCTACACCAATTCAAAAAACAATTATTTAATATTAGTATATATTTCATAAAAGTGTTCAAAAATAATTTATTTGTTTATTTAATTTGATATTTTAGTGAAAGAATTGAGTAATAATGTATTTTTGAGGTAGCTAGGATATGAGCTATGTGCAAGTGGCAGTACAGAAATATTTTTTAGGATAAATATATATATATATTAACGACATAAAATTTTTAGATAAAATAGATATGAATAAAATTTTAAGACGATTATCATCCGTAAAATAAATAAATAATAAAAAAACTTAAATTTTAAATTGAGTACGAAAGATTTCAGGGTTCAAGGTAAACACGTACCCGCCCTCCTGGGGCTCGCCACTGTATGTGCTTGTCTTATCTTGTAAGATTCATTCGATAACAGCCATCGACCATAACAGATCAGCGTCTCTACTTGCTGTTGAATCAATATCAAATAAGATTAGCACACCTGACGACATATTGGTTGGTGCTGCTGCCCACTGCTACATGAAATCCAGTTCTGAACTTGCACGTAACGACTTTTGTCTCTCTTTTTTTTTTGGTAAACAACAGTGGAGTCATTTTTATCGGTATTTATCTTATTTTGATCATTTTGAAAAAAACATTATTTCAATTATTTACATTATCGAATTGTAACAAGAGCCTAAAATAATTGGAATTGAACCAATAATTTATAAATTTGATTTGGCGTATAAGAGTTTTGAATAAGAGATCTAGTCGTGAGACAGATGGTACTATTAATAACATCATTAAATTTCGGTGAATCGAGATTGAATAGGATGATGAACTAGAGTTCCACCGAGTTTATTGTTTGTTGAGGGGGAAATATGGGAAATTATAGTTAAAATAATATAAAGGGTATATCATCACTAATATTTAAGTACGTTTTTGTTTTTCTCACCAAAGTTTTAGAAATGACATATTAGTCTCTAATGTTATCGATATGTAACAAAATGATCGTTCTACCGTGGTGTGACAACGTTAACAAAAAAATTAATCTTTAATTTTATCTATAAACTATTACTAAAATATCAAATAAGTGCTTGAACAATAATTTTTTTTATCAATTTATTACAAACTTTGAAGGACATTTTTGATATTGAGATAAGTGAGAAATTATTTTTATAAATCAATAACGACCGAAGTATAATTTTCTTTTAGCGACGATCAACAAAAAAAACCTAAACTTTAGGGAGCCATTTCTTTGCAGACAATGATAGATCTAACCGAAACCAAAACTTTAGGCTGAATTTGGAATCACGGAGATTCTTAACTATTTCTATACCATACACATATACCCCATGATAGATAGAGGATAATAGTCGTCATCTTTTAAATTATCATATATTTTAGATTTTTTTAAATAATATGATTTCACTTTCATTATAGAATTTTAAGTCCGTCCCTACGTGCAACTTTCCTTGTTACCTATGGCCACACAGCAACTTTCTTCTATTAAAAGTGAGTGCAAGACATCTATTTTACCAGAAATTTCTATTTATAAGGTCTAAAATATGAAAAGTTTTTACTTTACATTTCTCAGGAATTGCAGTCAAATCCAGGCCTAACTCATTCACGAAACCACCTTCCAAGAGCTTTATCCGAGCAGTGTCAGCAGGTTTTGTTTCGAAACAAGCATCAGGTGTGCACCTACCATATACATTGGCTACGATGTAGAATCGGATTTCTGATCAGCATCGGCTGCCGCCTGAACTTGAGCGGCATACTGCAAGTTCCAGAGGACATCCGCAAAAGATGGCCGAGACGATGGGTCGGGACATATGCATTTTCCAGTAATTGACACCACAATGGATAACGACTCCTGTGAGCAAGTGGTCAACACCGTTGGATCCACAATTCTCTTTCGGCCGTCCTGGCTGCCGAAAGATGCCTGTGATGTGCAATACAGGATGTTAGCCGAAAACAAGAACTTCAACTTAGATTGCATATTTGCTAGCTGATAGTCGTTGTGATAATATTTTGTATGTTGAATGGAGGAATTCATCAGAGAAAAACAATGGCTTACCATTTCATTCAAAAGAAATGTCTCTCCTTTTCCACTCACTATAGGCCCGACAAGCGACTCGAGTAATATAAATCCGAAGTTGTAAACATCATCCTCTAAATTTTGCCTTTGACTGCAATATAGAATGAAAAGCAGATTATTATATAAACAACAATTGCCGATGAAGTTTCAATAGTCTGCTGAGGATTGGTTCCAGGCAATACCTAGACTTCAAGCCGTCTCCCTTCGCCTGCAGAGCAATAAAATGTTTGTCATTTTCTTTTGCAGGTAAGAAGTTAAATGCAAATAGCAAGGAAACATGCCTCTAGTCTATCATTCTCTTCCATGATGATTGACATCCCATAGTCACTCAGCTTTGCAATCCGATGCTCGTCCAACAATATATTGTTCGTCTTCAAACGGTTGTTATAAACTCCGGGAATAACCCCGGTATGTAGAAAATGCACGGCCTTGGCTACATCGATTAGAATTGCTAACCTATCTGACCACTTAAGAACCTTTTCTGGACAAGTCTCTGCATCATTTTCCAGATTATGACTGTCAGAATACAGTACAGTACTTGTGTACATCTATAGCTTGGCACTTGGCATATGCATATAAATACAATTCAAAGTTCAAGCAACACTGACCTGACAAAAGCAAATGATAGTTCCCGTTCGGCACATAGTCGTATACAAGGAAGGCTTTGTTTGCTCCGGAATCGTCTTGTACACCACCATCAATGCAGTGACCTAAAAGGCCTACTAAATGTGGATGCTGAATCTTTGACAAGAAATCAAGCTTAACTTTAAGATTTTGAATTGAATGTTTCTTCAGTAAACTCAATGATCGGATGGCGACATAGGTTCCATTCTCCAATCTTCCTTTATATATCTGAAAAATAGAAACAAATGAAGTCAGATAGGCCATTGATGATATCAAATGCAAAATGTCTGAACCAAGTACCTAATTTGTGACCCTTTGTTCTAGTATTTAAAGGGTATAATCTTGTTCTGTAAATCTTAGCTCCTGCAAGCTGTTTTCTTCGGAGCCGAGCTTCGAGGAAGGAAAAAAGTGAAAGAGAGAGTTTTGAGGATACCTTTCCAGTAGAGCCTTCACCCATAAACATTGATGAATCGAAGTTATTTGTGGCTTCCTCCAACTCTTCCATGGTAAACAGTATACATACCGGAGCACCTTTTGCCCCTAGTTTCACAACTTCAGAAATGAATCCTAAACAAATAAAATCAAATAATTAATGATCAGTAATTAGCATTAATAGTTACTCAAATATCCCTTTGAAGCACTATAAAAACCGGGCTAAAAATCATGATGAACCCCCTTCTAATAAGTATGAACTTGGATTGATTTGGATGATAGTAGTAGCAAAAGAATAGTTTTTGCTTACTGGCATTTGCAAGAACTTCGGGTGAAACTCCGGTCGTCGGGTTCTCTTGAATGGCCTTTTGCCGTATATTAGTTTCAAATGTTCGCCTTGGTCGGCATCTTTGAAACAGAATAATAATCCCGAATGCCAAAAGCATCAGAAGCAGAGCTGATACTACAACAGCAACTAATAATGCTATCTTTCTTCCGCTGCTTCTTGTGCTTGCTTCATTGCAATAAGAACCTTGATGCTGATGTTGGTCATCAGTTGACAAGCAATTCCCACCATATTTCACTACTCTCTTTTCTGATTTATTGTCTAAGCAAGAAGGAAGACCACCAACCAACTTGTTACCAGAAATATCGACGAATCCGAGTTTGCTACCACAAATTAGATGCTCCGGAAATGAACCACTCAGCCCATTTGATGCCAAATTCAAGTAACTGATGCTTGGCAAATCGAACAAGGCAGAGGGGGGAGTTCCACTCAGATGATTGGAAGATAAGTCAAGGTGCTGAAGATGACTCAATACGCCAAACTGAGCCGGAATGTCACCGGAGAATAAGTTCTTAGCAAGAAGAGCTGTAACCAATCCTTGGGGCATGACAGGCAGTTCAGAATCAAACTGATTCTCTCTTATATCCAGCATGCGCAGGCGAGTCAAGCAACTTAAATCAGGCAAATTACCCGAAAGCTTATTGTGGCACAAAGCAATATCTGTTAGGCTTGAAATTCGGCATATCGAAGACGGAAACTGACCCTTCAACCTATTTCCCCTCAAACTCAGAACAGTAAGATTTGATAAGGAATCAAGTGTATCAGGAATAGTACTATTGAAGTAGTTGCCATCCAATGTTAGAGTTTGAAGCTTAACCATTCTAGATATCTGAGGGGGGATTGAGCCAAACATGAAATTGGAGCTTAAATCCAAAAGTTCAAGAGAATATAGCCTATGAATCTTATCAGGAAGCGAACCCCAAATTCCAAGTGACACTAAGCTAAGAACCCTCAAACTGGTTAACCTTGTCAATGTGGTAACCAAGGAATCAATAGAGAAAGTCTGAGACAGTGTTTTACCAGGAACTGCATGCCCATTGAAGCCACTAATATTGGCAAGCTTATTTCCCCTAATCTTAAGCTCATTGACAAAATTATCCCGGCAAGATATCATCACATGTGAAGTTTCAGACAAGTTACAGAGGTCCCCATTGTAATTTTCCAGAATTTGGAGCTCTGGAGGGTACTCTAAATGCTTCCTTATTTGCAGCAAAAGTTGAGTTTGATAACTTTGTAA